CGTATAGTTATAATCTGTAAATATGGAGTTATTTAATACTTCTTGTAGAAATCTTAAAAATATATCTTCTCTCTTCTAGTGGGCGTTTAGACCATAAACACCAATATATTCCTATATAACTAAATAAATTTTCTGCCATCTCTCTCTATAACTACATAGAATCTCTCTCCAGCGTCCGTTCGGTACTATACTGTTCTGCTTTCTTTTATTGCCGTCTTCAACGTAACCGTAAGTATCTTATTACAACAGACTCTTTGTTAAAAATATAAATATATATATTTATATGAATGTAAAATGTTTATATTATTTACTGAAGAGTAGGTACCTTGTATGAAGGCCTCCAATACAAGGGCTTAAAATGTGCATTATGAAATGTACACAAATTTAACATGGTGTATGCGAATAAAAAGCCAGTTGTCGAAAATGAGGCCAATCGTGTTAGGTGGTCAGATAAATCAGCATAACGATCTAAAAAAATAAGTGTTAAATAATTTTAGATGATTTCGAAAAAAAAAATGTACAAAGGATTACATTTTGTTTTGCTAATTTAAATAAATTGTATTAGTTTTTAAATTAGTATCTTGATGAAAAAAGTTCATCTTACCAAAAGATTTAAGTATTTGAACTTAAAATATATTTTATACTAGGTAAGGTACATATGTAGGTAACCTAAAAGACCGGACCACATTAAATCTTGTATATTACAATTATATTTGAAACGCAATACGGAATCGTTATTCTAATATCGAGTTTTAACTTAACGAAGCTGAAAGACATAAATATATATTTTAAGGTTTACAATATTATACTATAAATATTATTTAGGAGTTTTAATGGGTGGTATTATTACCATAATATTCTATATAATAAGTATAATGAATATATATAATTTTTCAAGTTCAGCCTATGAAGCCACCACATCTCCTTCCTCCACAAAGATAAACTCAAACGCTCAAAACATTTTTCCTATAATGACGCTTCAAATTTTCTCTWTAGMTATTTGAAGMAAAACTTRTGRAAAACTTGGTGTTAAATTTTATAACCTTAGATATAAATACAAACAATATTATGAATTTTAAATTA